CTTTCCCAAACTAACTACATCGCTCATTTTACATTGAGTTATAAATTAAAAGCCCTCGTTTATTGGATTGGCAGGGGTCTGGTGGGGTCACCATAAAGAAAACTGGTCAAGCTCTAGTATTTGGCATATATGAAGAACCTGTCACTCCGGGACAGTGTAACATAGTTGTTGAAAGGTTGGGTGATTACCTTATTGAGCAGGGCCTGTAGGCTTATATCCGTCAAGCATCAAGTCATGTCTTTTGGCGATAAAATTCTTGGATTTTTTTTTTTTTTTGGGGGGGGGGGGGGGGGTTTTTTTTTTTTTTTTAAAGTTTTTTGGGTTTTTTTTTTTTTTTTAAAGTTTTTTGGGTTTTTTTTTTTTTTTTAAAGTTTTTTGGGTTTTTTTTTTTTTTTTAAAGTTTTTTGGGTTTTTTTTTTTTTTTTAAAGTTTTTTGGGTTTTTTTTTTTTTTTTAAAGTTTTTTGGGTTTTTTTTTTTTTTTTAAAGTTTTTTGGGTTTTTTTTTTTTTTTTAAAGTTTTTTGGGTTTTTTTTTTTTTTTTAAAGTTTTTTGGGTTTTTTTTTTTTTTTTAAAGTTTTTTGGGTTTTTTTTTTTTTTTTAAAGTTTTTTGGGTTTTTTTTTTTTTTTTAAAGTTTTTTGGGTTTTTTTTTTTTTTTTAAAGTTTTTTGGGTTTTTTTTTTTTTTTTAAAGTTTTTTGGGTTTTTTTTTTTTTTTTAAAGTTTTTTGGGTTTTTTTTTTTTTTTTAAAGTTTTTTGGGTTTTTTTTTTTTTTTTAAAGTTTTTTGGGTTTTTTTTTTTTTTTTAAAGTTTTTTGGGTTTTTTTTTTTTTTTTAAAGTTTTTTGGGTTTTTTTTTTTTTTTTTTTGGGGGGGGGGGGGGGGGTTATCTTCTTAATTGTTTGGTTCAAGTTTGCATTTCCTTCACTTGAAAAGTCTTCAAATGGTTGTGAGGTTGCAGGCAATAACCGTGGGAGGACATAAAACAGTTTTTTGCTGTTTGGTTGTTATTTAATTGCATTACTTTTTACCTTTCTTTATGTCTATTCTTCGAGCCTTTTCTTAACCTTTCTCTGTTTTTATGTCTTTAGTTTCTTTATTTATAAGGTCTCTTTGTGTTTTGTGGCAATTGGTTCTCTGTTTCTGTTCAATAGGAGAGAGAGGACAAAAGAAATCTGCTTTCTGTTTTCTGCGAAGGTGTCGTTGAAACAAATAGTAGAATGTAAGTAAATAAGCTGATGTTGAAGTCCTGTTCACTTCATCGATTTAAATTTAGAATTTGAGTTTTGCTATAGTAAAAAGTTCTCAGAAACAGTTATATTTAATTTTTTATTATAGTAAAATTTGTTTACATAAAATCACATCTCAATTCGAATTAACGAATTAAACGAGTTATTTTATCAATTATTATAAAAGAAAAAGAACTTTCTCGATGAATGTGCACTATTTTATACTTTCTCTTTCCATTGGGGACCATTAAATCATATGAAAATCTGCAATTTTTGGAGAGCAAAGAAAATTTGGCAAGTTGAAATAGATATTATTCCAATTGGGTTGTTAGGGCAAGTTGCAGCTTGTGCTTGCCAGTGCTAGGAGATGGGGCATTTCCTACCATTTCCACCTCAATCCACTAGCTTTTTCATGGTCATAATTTATGTTACAATATCAACTGAATAACATTCAAATAAATTATTTTCTTTATTTCCGAATTCATGATGTGCTTGCTTGATCCATATGCACATCCTATATTTTTTTTAAAAAAATAAAAATAATATATTAGAGGTTGGTTTTTTTTTTTTTTTTTGGGTCATTATTTGATACACTTACGTATAGTTGTAGACCACTTCTCCAGTTAATATTACTGAACGAGCGGTCCCCTCCTCCTTTTGTGATTGTCTATGCTCCATTTTGGCTTGCTGAGAATTCGAATATACTTAAGAAAAGAAATTTTTTTCCTCCCCCCTGCTAAAGCACAAGACCTCCGCGAATTCACATCCATCCACATAGCGAACTGGAATATCCAGAAACAATTGGTGAGCATCAAATCTTAGTCAAATTATTAGGTACTAAAAAAGATAATATAATCACTTTAGTCATCAAATAAAAAAAAGTTTCAAAAGAAAAAGAGAAGAAGAAGAAAAGTGAGACTATGAAAGAGATTCTCTAGCTTTACGTTATTTTTAAGCATCAGCCCCCTCCGAGACAGTGACTGATAGTCTCTGAGGATAAAGATGCTTAAGCTCTTTGTTTGCCTATTTTATTTTATTTTTTCGCTCATCTTTTTTCTTCACAAGAAATAAATTATTAAACAGAAACGGCATATTCATGATGTAGTTGGACAACTGGAAATGAGACCTATTTTGATGGGGTTTTAGATTCAGGACATTGCGGAAGAATTTGAGACCAATTTGAGGCCGTTGGCTATGGTAAGTACTGGTGTCTTAGCGCGAGAGGGTACACAGGTGATGCCCGCCTCCAACAGTGGTCTCTAATGGATAGTGAGGGGGTGATCGTTGGTACATGATTGGTCTCCGTGATTTTTTTTTTTATTATTTTTCTTTTCTTTTCTTTTTGATCAGCATCTCCGTGATGCTGAGGGAGGCTATGGCGCTTTGTTAGCGGTTGAAGTTGCGGTTTATTGGAGGCGGATGGTGCCAAGTAAGGCCGGTATTTCAGGTAGCGATAAGACGACACGGTTTAAAATTTGTATAAAATTAATGGGTTTGAGTTTATTATAAATAAGTTTGGGTCGTAATCATATTGATACCGACACGATTAATTAATGAGTTAGGTTATGATTAACTTCCTAACACGAAGTGACGCGAATTGACACGATTAATTATATGTGTCATCTGTCATCTAATGATATGTGATATAACATGAAAGTTTATATGATATATTAAATAATGTGAATTTTAATATTTATAGGTAAAATTCATTTATTTTTCTTAAAGGAAAAGATAAATTGACCAATAAACATGTTAAACTTGTATTGACCGTATTAAATAAGTCATTATTATATTAGTTATTTATTCAATATATTAATTTAAACGGGTTATACGAGTTAACACGATTAATAAATAGATCGTGTTTGAGTTGACATTTTTAACACGTTTAATAAATAGATCGTGTTTGGATTCATGTTTTTTGACACGATTAATAAACGAGTTGACACGAACACGACTCATTAACATGAATTGCCACCCTTAGTGCCAAGGTGATAGCTTATAGGAGGGAGTTCTAATTAGAGGTGGATTACATCAAGGACGGATCGAGTAGCCTTAATCGATCAATCGTTCTTAGTTTTACTCGTTGATACAGACCGACAACAAGGGTCATTTAAATCTATATTCCTAAAAAGTATTGTGTTTCTTCAAAGTTTTAAGTTTATTAAACTGACTTAAAAAAATTAATTATCTATTTAAATAAGAGCTATAGATGGTCATTTTACTCTATATCCCTAAAAAGTAGTTCATAAAGAAATTATGACACTAATTTTGAACCTATCCAAAACACAATCCATTCGGTTGTTATTAACCCTTCACTTTTACAAATATGTCTTACATAAGCGAGTCGTGTAATGTCGTTAATCAATGGTGAGACTCGAGTTAATCAACCAATGGCTGAAACTGAGCACTTGCATAGATTGTTAAATGCCGTTAATGAATTCAAATTTAAACTATTTTTTATTGAACTCGTGTATAAGAAGTCACTACGTGTATATTTGTAATTATCATCAAAATTAGAAAATGAAACAATAGCAAATATAGGTATTGTTCATTTTACTGATTCGAGTTTAGAATTCGAGTTTTGTTGCAGTAAAAAGTTTTAAAAAACAGTCGCATTTAACTTTTTTGATACAATAAAAAGCTCTCACATGAAATCACATTTCAACTCGAATTATCAAACTAAACGAGCCCATAATAGTCCATTGTTCAAATTGAAATTTTGAGATAAATAAAAAAGAATCTATGTATTTATGAATATTTAGATTTGAACCGTGATTTAAATTTGTGGTTCAAATCTGTCAAAATCAAGAAGGGTGTTGATTTTGTTTTTATAAGTTCAAACTGAACATCACATGGAACCAGATTTGAACTAAACATAAATTTGATTGGGTTGGGTTCAAATTCTTTTTTATTTTTACAAACAAATACTAATTTAAATCAAAACTTAGGTTCAATCTATTAAAACCCTCATACAAAACATAAGAGATTTTGTTAGAACATGACAATGATACATGTTACAGTAAAATTTTGTTCATGTAAACTTTTCGAGATGATTTTTTGAAAGGTAATTTTATTTTAAATGAAAAAAATACACAAATTAATAACCTCATGTTGGGTTTTTTTTTACTATGGGCAATACAATGTTTAAGAGTTGGACATTAAATTATTCTTTTCACAACTCAAATTAAATGTATATGAAAAAAAAAATATTGTGATAAAAAATTAATTTTAAAATTTTATAAAAAAAAACATTACAATAATTAAATTTGAGTTGTGAAATATTAAAATAAAATAAATTGTTTAAGAGAATAAGAGTCAAGACAAAAGAAAGGGTAAAAAAAAAAAAATGTGCACGTATGGTAATGCGAAATTTACGGGCAAAGCGGCAATTTCCCGAACAAAATATCATTGCAGGGTATTATAGTAAAATCATAATTCAAGAAAAACAATTAATATAAATTCTTCGTCTCCGTGATTTCAACGCCACCGCTTTGCTAGAAGTAGTGGAGAGAGCAGAGCAATTTTCTCAGCAACACAAACAGCAAAATCCGACGAGAAAAATTCAGAGCAGAGAAAACCTAAAGAGAAGAAGAAGAAGAAGATGTCGTGGCAAGCTTACGTCGATGACCATCTTCTCTGCGAAATCGAAGGTCAACATCTCTCCGCCGCGGCCATCATCGGCCACGACGGCAGCGTCTGGGCCCAGAGCGCCACTTTTCCTCAGGTCTCTTTTCTTTTCCTTGGATCTGATTGTAATTTCGGCTTTTGTTTTTGTGGTTGTAACTTTGCGATTTGTGCGAAAGCTTGCAATCAAAAAATCTTTTGCTGTTTGTTTGCTGTGAGAATTGCTTGCATGTGTTTTTGTGCTTTGATCTGATTCTCATGGAAAAATGGTAGAATTTTATCCATTTTTGTTGAGGAATGTTAAGATTAATGTTTTTTTGGAGGGATTATTTCTTGATTCGTTAATCACGTCTTGATGTGATGTAATCTGTGATTAGACTCTAGTTTTACATCATTTCTGGGTCAAAACAATCGGTTTTCACCTTTTTTTTCTAATGAAAGTTTTGAAATTGCTTTAAGTCGAGGGATATTTTATACCATGTTCATTCACCGATTCAAATTTAGTATTCAAGTTTTGCTACGACACGACAGCTCACCGATTCAAATTTAGAATTCAAGTTTTGCCAGAGCTCTAGAAATAGTCGCAGCTACAGTAAAAACATAAAGTTACACATCGAATCAACGAACCTAATTGCTACAGTAAAAACATAAAGTTACTCATCGAATCAACGAACTAAACGGGTCATAAAAGTTTTGAGTTAAATTATTTGCTTTCTCCATAAAGTTTTGAATTGATTCGGGATCAACTTCTCTTACTCTTTCAATTATCTTAATATTGAAGGGGTTTAAATGCATAATAACATGAAGAAGGAAAGTGTTTAGAATTTGCAACTTAAGCAGGGTTTTTCTTGACAAATATTATTTTCATTAACTATTCTTGTGCTTTGTCGAACATGTGAATTGTTTGAAATTCTTTAACTTCTGTTTGTTTGTTCTCTTATGATTGAATTTTTCTTATATCTTTGAAATCAATATGGATTTAGCTCAAGCCTGAAGAAATAACCGGCATCATGAATGACTTCAACGAGCCTGGATCACTTGCACCAACCGGTTTGTACCTTGGTGGCACCAAATATATGGTGATCCAAGGAGAGTCGGGAGCTGTCATCAGGGGAAAGAAGGTGAGAAACTACATTTTGGGCCAAGTATGAATGGGCATATTTTCATAACCCAACTGTTATATTTTACATAAATGGCAAGACTGTCATCCCCTTGAACCCCAACCAGTTGTTGGGGTTCATCTGGTACTGTGGCTTTTTGCCTTTGTGAGGCGAGGCATGGGCCTCAAGGCATTTTGTGGTGTCAAAGTGAAACCATAAAATAATTAAAAAAAAAAAATGATAAATCAAGCATTTGTAAGTTGTAACTAGTTATAAAACGAAAGTTACAAGTCACAATTTAACATCATAAAAAATCATATTAACACTCAAGAATTAAAAAAGTAATAAGTCTAATATGATTACCCTTGATTTGTTTTCTTCCATTTATTTTCAGCAACCTTAGAGTTTAGGGTTTCCTTGTAAGCCTACATCTGCCTCTTTGATCACAAGTAATGTTATTCTTTCTCCAATAAACAGTAAAAAAGTGAGGTCAAGGCGCCTCAAAATTTATACAGGCATGCCTCAGAATATAGAGGCATATGCCTCTCTCTTATTAGGTTTGAGCCTCAAATCCATTTTCCAGCACCTCATGGAGAGATTTTAACTACCAGCTTGTTGAGAGTTCAACACGGGACATTGATCTGAAAAATGGGATGTAATGTGATTGCTATTCTACACATGCATGCCATTGTTACCTAACTTGTGCCCATGCATGCGTCAGCTTCATGAGTGGGGTGGGAGATTGTTTCGAGGGTGGGGTTCTCGTAGAATGCATTTAGGACATGTTTACTTGTCATGAATGGGAAAGGAAAAGGAAAGGAAGTAATGTTTTGCTCTCCCTTTCTGGCCTATTTATGGGTACTTACAAAATGAGAAATTGCTAATTTGGTGGGCGCCCACAATGTGAATAGGGAAAGCAATCCTAAGTTACTCCCTTTCAATTGGAATAAATCATAAAATTAGTAAGCACTAAATTTTAACTGATGATTCTATGCACTAGGACATTTTAGTACTTGAGCTACTCCTAAAGTTAGTAAAACACTAAAAAGTAAATTCGATTGCTTTCCGATTCCACATCTTGTTCATTTTCTTTTCTTTCCAACACCCTTCCCCTTGCCAAAGCATTTCATTGCAAGTTTGTAAATATGTCCGGGATTATGCACCAATGGGGTTTTCTTATCTTGAATACTGACCTTGTCGCTTTATTTCAGGGTCCTGGTGGTGTCACTATTAAGAAGACTAGTCAGGCCTTGATCATTGGTGTTTATGATGAGCCAATGACGCCTGGTCAATGTAACATGATTGTTGAGAGGCTTGGAGATTATCTCGTTGACCAGGGTCTCTAAGTTCCCTTGGTATGTCTTATTTATGTGAATCCTCAAGGTTTTTTCTATACAGCTTGCGCCTGTTTGACCTGCTTCTTAAAAAGGGCTGCAGTAACATGTATTACAAGTATTAAAAGTTATGGGGACTCATATGAAAGAAAAAAGTTTGGTGTTTGAAAGAGTAATGTCATGGTCTTTCTCATTGTACTCCTTCAGTCAATAGTATTTTGATGATTTTCAGCGAGGTAATTGTCCGTTATTTGAGTCAGTGGATGGTGGTAAATTTGATTGGCATAAATTTAGTCTTGTTTTGTCTCCGAGCTAATTACTCTAGCATTCAGCTGTTTAGCCTGTTTGACGGTGTCTGTGCACCCAAGCGTGGCTAAAGCTTTTTCAATTTTAACCTTTTGCCAAGCCCAAAGGGCTGCTTTTAGAACTGGATTTGGGTTGTTGTGGGTTTTTGCTCCGCATGGACTCTTAATAGTGGACCCTGCATGCTATTTCTTCCTCACTCTCTTCGGCTTCTCGGTTAACTTATTAATGTTAATTTACAAAATCCCGTCATTGGATTTTGTATCCAATCTTAACAGCCATAATGCTTGTGGCTGCAATCCGTGTCTAATTGTAAGATAAAGTTTGAAATATGTTTTTTGAGCTGTAGATAGTCCTCCAAATTTAAACCAAAATTTTGAAATATGCAAATATGGCAAAGTTGGCGAGGATGTATGGTTTTAAACAAAGTTGGCGCAATGGTTCAGGTACTGTCATCTGAATGTATTTGTGTGTGTGTTTGTTTGTTTGTTTGGTCAATTGAATGGTTATTGTTATACGGCCAAAATTCAGGAGACTTCCGTTAAAGAGCCTAGACTGATTACTTGGATCATTTGAGAAGGCTTGAGATATGAAGTGAAAGGGCAAGATATCCTGCCCCACATCTTTTTCGGCCCTTAGTCAATTAAATGGTTATTGTTTTTAACTGATAATTTTTTTTTATTACGGTCAAATCAGTATATGTCCGTATTAAAAATTTGTAACGCGTGACATAAAACCGTTCATACTACAGATTAGACTGTTGAAAAACTAATCCTACGGTTAAAGAATAGTTCAAGTAAAATAGCCTTATTTATCATAAATCCACCCACCCGTTTGTTGTGAAATTAGGTTTAGGTTGATGATTCTCTTATTTGTTCGGGGAAGACTGTCAAACCGATACAATAATCGCAGTTCCGTTTAATGAAATGCCAATAATGGACTTTAGTATGAGCTCTCTAGCATTGACCCCGACTTTTCAATTTTCAAACAAGAAATCAAGAATAGATTAAGGCATTGTTCGTTTCGCGGATTCGAGTTTTTAATTCGTGTTGAAATGTGATATTTTTTTAGAGTTTTTAATTATAGCAGAAAAAGTTAAATATGACATTTTTTAAGAGTTTTTAACTGTAAAAATTTAAAATTGAAAATTTCAATCGTGAGGTAAACTTGGGAATATCCAAGAAGTACCCTATGTTTTACCTAAATTACCACGTATGGCTTTAAATTAATATCTCCTGTGTTTTCTAAACTGTGTGAATTCACCAACGATGTGAGAATATTAGACAAATGTATTTCAGTTTCGAGCAAAAAATATATATATATTTCAGTTAGTGAACACACACCGTTTTGGATATCAGAGATGAGACCTTGATAATTAATTCCTCATATGAGAAAATAAGGTGGGATATGCCAATATTTCTTTTATTTCAACTCTCGCAGTTGAGATATAAAAAAAAAAAAAAAATTGCACTGATTTCTCTTCTGATGACAAGAACAATACGGCGTGATAATGATATAAAACAATATGGTGTGACAAGTTTTTTTGGCCTTTTTGGGTTAATATTCAAAAAAAAAAAGGGAGAGAAAAAAAATGGTTCTCTCACTATACTTCTTAAAATTTCACGTGTCACGTAAATAACCTCCAAACTTTACAAACTCTGTACGAACCTCTCTATGTAACAAATATAAACATGTTTAAATCATAATTTACAGTTTAATACAATATTTTTTTAAAAAAAATACACATAAATTAAAAATAATTTTAAATTTATAAACTAACGTCTGTTTAATATTTCATGTGCGATGGACATTATGAAGGGCAAACTCACGTGTGGCAAGCGTTTTTTCTAATCCTTTTAAGTTAAATGCCAAAAAAAAAAAAAAAAAACAGTGAACACTTGGGTCTAGTGGGGAACAGAAGGGAGAAGAAGACATCTGCTGATGTTATGGAACCGAGGCAATTCATTTAACTATATTTTATAAAATCCACGCTTAGGTCCGTTCCTCGCTGACCCAACCTCCTGTGTCTCCTGCCATTTGCCAAAAACACACTTCTCTTTCCAATAAATACAAACACAAAAACACAAAATAACGACATTAATCCTATTCCTATTTACTATTACTATTCAAAGCCCCTTTCTTAAGTGCTTCTTCTGCTTCTTTCTTGCCACTCTCACTCTCGAGCTCCAAAGACAAAACCGTTCTCTGAAAAGTGGGAAAAAAAGAGCCGTTGCTGTCTCAGAATATTAACGTTACAATCCCAGAGAAACAAGAAGGAGAAGAAGAAGAAGCAGAGGAATAAGTTTGGCAGAGAAGAAGACCCAATGGGGAGAGATTTCGGGCTTGTTTTCGTGGTCTCACTGTTGCTTCTACTGTTGGGTTTGTGCCCTTTCTCCAGATTCTTCTTTGTTGTTGTCGATTCTCCCTCTTTGCTGTGTACTGGGCTTGAGAATGTCTATGTTTTTTTTTTTCTGTGTTTCAGCTCAGATTTCTTATCATTAGATCTTTTGGTTCACCAGAGATTATAATTATATGTGTTATTATTTTGTGGAAATAATCATAGCAACCCCAAAAGTGCAAAAAATAAAAATAAAAAAAAATAAAAATAAAAGAAGATCAAAATGTCGGTTCTTTTTCTTTAAGCAAACTATTTTTTTCTCACTTCTTTTTTTGCCGTTTGGTTCCCATGAAGCGTTAGCAGAAAACTTTTATACTCTTATGTGGCTTCCCATTTCTTGGCTTTCGAGAGCAAGCCACTGTTGTTTGTTGACGTCTTTAATATGAGTTTAATGATTGGCCTAAAAGCTTAAGCTGATGGCCTTAGTATGGTGCAGACAGAATGTCGAAAGTCCTGGTCTTTAGAAGGATAACTCAAGATTTGAGTAAAATTTTGCTAAATGATTTTGTTCCTTCTTGCCCATTGGCGGATTGGGCCATGTTTTATTGTTAATGAGGTCTCCTTGAAATGTCACGATCATCAAAGTCTGATTTGTTTATCTGGGTCTTTTGTTATGCAATATAAAAAAATTTAAAAAAAAAAAAACACAAAAAAATCGAGAAGTTAATTTTCTTATGCTAAAGAGCAGTTGCCCTTTGTCATGTTGCTTTATTTGCATTTATGAGGCCTATCCACTTAACTGTCTTTTATTTCTCTCTGCGGTGGTTCCATTTTGTCTGGCATTATATGCTAAATTGATGATTTTGGTCAACGTTTGTGCCAGATTTATGCAGTGGAAGCTTTGTTGGAGTGTGCTACGGAAGAAACGCCGATGATCTTCCTGTACCCGACAAGGCGGCGGAGCTTGTCAAACTTCATAACATAAAGTATGTAAGGATTTACGACTCCAATGTGCAGGTCCTCAAGGCCTTCGCGAACACTGGAATTGAACTTATGATTGGGGTCCCAAATTCGGACTTACTGCCCTTCTCTCAGTTCCAATCCAATGTAGATACCTGGCTTAAGAACAGTATCCTTCCTCACTACCCAGCCACAAAGATTACATACATTACTGTTGGTGCTGAAGTTACGGAGACTCCCGGCAATATTTCTGCTTTAGTAGTGCCTGCCATGAAAAATGTGCTTGCAGCCCTTAGAAAAGTTGGTCTAAGTAGGAAGATTAAAGTGTCAAGCACCCATTCCCTTGGAGTTTTGTCCCGATCGTTTCCTCCCTCTGCGGGAGCTTTCAATAGTAGCCATGCTTTTTTCCTCAAGCCCATGCTTGAATTTCTCGCCGAAAATAGCTCTCCCTTCATGATAGATATTTATCCTTACTATGCTTATAGAGATTCTGCAACCAATATTTCTCTGAACTATGCTCTATTTGAGTCGTCCTCGGAGGTGATTGATCCAAATACCGGTTTGTTGTACACAAACATGTTTGATGCTCAGATTGACGCTCTCTACTTTGCATTGATGGCCTTAAATTTCAAAACCATTAAAGTTATGGTCACAGAAACAGGCTGGCCTTCCAAAGGGTCACCTAAGGAGACGGCTGCAACACCTGATAATGCGCAAACTTACAATACCAATCTCATTCGCCACGTGATAAACAATACCGGAACTCCTGCAAAGCCTGGACAGGAGCTAGATGTGTATATATTCTCTTTGTTCAATGAAAATAGGAAGCCAGGATTGGAATCCGAAAGAAACTGGGGGTTATTTTATCCGGATCAGACTAGTGTCTATAACCTAGACTTCACTGGAAGAGGCTCTGTGGATATAGCTACGGGGGCTAATTCTACTAGTTTAAATGGAACTACATGGTGCATTGCTTCGAACAAGTCTTTGGAAATGGACTTGCAAAACGCATTAGATTGGGCTTGTGGTTCTGGAAACGTGGATTGCACTGCTATTCAGCCTAGCCAGCCTTGTTTTGAGCCAGATAATCTGGCGTCTCATGCATCTTATGCGTTCAACAGCTTCTACCAGCAGAATGGGGTCACTGATGTCGCTTGCAGCTTCGGAGGGGCAGGGATTAGAGTTGACAGGGATCCAAGTATGTATTAATTCTTTACTTCATATCTGGTTTTCCCTCTTACTTTTCTAAATTGCCATCAAGACACTTTATAATCGTTTGTAGGCATTGGAAGTTGTAGCTGATCGTGGTACATCAAAGCAGCTGTTTGAAAATTAGGAGAATTATGCGGTCTAGATCATCAGATTTTTATCTAGTTCCATTGAATTTCATGCTTTTTTTTTCCCGTTCTGATATGTTTCTATTATATCTCACAATTCAAAACTACACAATATTGATAGAAGTATTATTTTGCACCTTATTACAGAATCTCCTAAATAATTTATACAACCAGTGATTCTTCCATTTATCGGGAAAAACTTAAAAGCTTGGCTATGTCTACAGAGCATAAAATGGTAGAAATTGAGAAACTTTCCATTTTTCAGCTGGTTGTCATGCTGAGAGTAGCTATTTTGTTTCCATTTTTGGTTTTAATATTCGCAGTTGACTTCCCTTATCCGATCTATTGACTTGGTCTAACTGTTCAAAGTGCCAATACAAATCACAATCATACTTTGAGAAATCTTCTTTTGACTTACGAAAGTTTATGTTTAAACTTTATTGCAGGCTATGACAGTTGCATCTACATGACTGCCGGGTAAGTTTTTATCCAACCTTGTTTCCACATTGTGGTTGCTTAAAATCACACTTCTAATCCAAAATTCTCATCTATCTTGTTTTGCAACATGCAGGAGCAACAAAACTATTGCGAGTAACACAACGGCAATGTCTTCAAAGTCTTCTTCCCCGCTCAACGCTTTTCCTTCAGTGTTCTCTATGGTCATTCTCGCAACCATCATCTCATTTCTCCTTGAAACTGTCAACCATGTGTAAGGTGTTTGATGTTGAAGGAAACACAGTGGATATTTTTTCCGTCACAACGCGCGGCGATTGAGCTGACGTTGGAAAATATGTTGGTTGGAAAAATTTTGTATGTAATGACTAGATTTTTAAGAGAATGGTGCACAACTGATAACACCATCTACGTTGTAAGATGAAATTTATGTATACCTCTTGAACATATGGTAGTTACAGATTTGTGCCCCATGTGTTAGTAGCACCATTTTTTTTTTTTTTTCGTTCTCTGAAATATTTGTTAATTGCACACTTTTGTAATTGTAAGTGAGGGGGTTTAGGTACGAATAGTTTTGAAATATTCATTTCATTTGCATCATGTACATTTAGGTCCAACTTCTGAAGGTTTTTATTACTATATTATATTATTATTGCTACTGTTAAACATCTCTTGTAGCCATCACTTTCCAATATAATGCATTAGTTGGTCATGTAGGAGAAGAAAGGACTTGATAGCAATTTATTTTATAATTTTATTCTCCTTATTTAGCAATTTCTTTATATTTTACACATTGCAATGGCCTTCTCAAAACTTAGGAGCAATTTGTTACAGTTCTAGAGTTAGTGGGGGAATGTATGTTACGTTTTTTAAATTAGAAAAATACTTTTGTTAAAAAGCTAAAAATTCTCTATACAATTTTGTTGAAATTTGGTTTGTTTTATGTGATTATTGAATACGAATTGGATTTAGGATGACTTTCAACTTTTTTTTTAGTTTTAATTTATTGAAAATTTCATCAACAATAAGTACAATGGTGGGATTGGGATGGATATGGAGTAAGTCCTTCTGAAGGAGGTTTTCTGACTCCATCCCCGCTTCTCCGTAAGCAGGGAGACGAGCCGGCGGTTATGAGAAAGCATATGTTGTCTTATACTGCATCGTTGTCATGCCTAAAACTATATGTTATATAAAACTCGTTTAAAGAATAGGTATTTGAATGTCAAATATAACGCAACACGTCACGTAAGTGATCGATTTTGAAGCATTATGTAATATTTTATTTATCTAGAGAGAATTTATCAAAATTAAGAATTAGAGAACAGTTTACCAATTCTCAAAAAAATATGCAAAGGCACCAAATACCTTAAGAAAACAGTACCAATCTTGCTGCCGACAGAAAGGGAAAAAAAAAACTGCAGGACATTTCAGCATATATATATAAATATATGTATATATTTTCAGGCGGAACATTTCAGCATTTTTCGTATTGAATGAGATATTTATTTTAAGAATTTGTCTTTAATTTTAAATGAATTATAATTATTAATTCTATACAATATTTTTTTCTCATAAAAAATTTAAATTTTAAAAATTAAAATCATAAACGTCCTAAAAATGATTTTCAAAAGGGAATTAAAAAGTTAGTACATATTTCTGTGGTAAATAATCCGAGAATTTTCAGATATAACTAAAATAATTTACGCGGTCTTATTCGTTTGAATTATTATGCAACTCTAACGAGTAACGAGTCAAGTGTCGCCATCTCCAACAAAAGAATAAGCAACTCTCTCTCTCTCTCTAGAATCGGCCATTGAAATTTCAAACCCTAGCGACCTGCTCAATCTCACTATACCCACGAGCCCACTCAGCATGAAGACCAAGACGCCATTGAAGCAACTCAAGCTCTCTGTTCCCACTGAAGAAACCACTATCTCTTCCTTCTTGTGAGTTCCTTCTCTGATATTTTTTGTCTTTTGCAAATTTGCATTCTTGATTAGGTCTTTGGTATTTCTGTTTGATTGCCGAGAAAATGCAGGAAAAAAGGTAAAGAAACTGGTGTTTCTTTATACAGATTGAAATTCACTCTAAACTAGTAATTAACAATCAAGTAAAGAAAGTTGTCCACTTTGGGACATTTATCCGCTACGATCTGTTAAAATTTGAATTTTCTAGCTCCAATTAATTAACTTCCTTAAAATCTCTTTTGCTTCCCTTTTCTTTTCCTTTCCTGACAAGTTCTTAATTTTCTAGCACTAAGAAAACTCGAAAATAAGGTATCTTTTTTTTCCACAAATTTTCTCTCTTTTGTATGAACTTTATTTATTAAATTCTGAAATCTTAGAACTGCAAGTGGCACCTTTCATGATGGCGATCTTCTCCTAAACCAGAAAGGTTTGCGGCTCATTTCCGAAGAAAAGGAACCCCGCGTAAGTTTCTTTTAATTTCCCAATCTGTTTATGCATATTAATTTCTTGTCTTTGTTTTAACTATAAATATTTTCTTTGCAATGTTGTCTTGAGAGTTTAGCCTCAAACGGTTGTCTGTTTTTGTGTGATTGACTAGTCTGCCAGTAATAAGGAGCTTGATTTTGAGTTTTCATTGGAAGATCTTGAGGCCATCAAAGTCATTGGCAAGGGAAGTGGTGGCGTAGTACAACTTGTTCGTCATAAATGGCTTGGAAAGCTGTTTGCCTTGAAGGTCAGTATTACTACCAGCAAAAAGTTGGTACTTTTTTCTTTGGACTTGCAACGAAACAGGGGGCAACGAAACGCCCCTTGAAACCCATTCTCATCTCACTTTTAAGTATGTGTATAGATGTGTTTTCCAACTATTTCTGATATCTTTTTGGCATTGAGCACTGAGTCAATGACAGTTTTCCTCTTTAAACTTTATGGGTTGTATGTTTAGGATTGCTTATACGCTAAGATTACAAAATGGTTGTATGATATTGACAGAAGTACAGGTCTAAATGAATTTTATTTACATTCTCCATCCCTTTTGATTGTTCGATGTGACATACAGTGAAGAATTGTTGTGTGTGAAATTATGAACAGGTGTAGTGTTGACTTATACTTTTTGTTTTGTGTCTGATTTTCCTAAATAACCAGACAGTTCAATTTTGTTGTATTTTCTTATATATATATATATATATAAATAAAAGTAAAGTTTCTTTCTACAGGCCATTCAGATGAACATCCAAGAAGAAATTCGCAAACAGATTGTGCAGGAGCTGAAAATAAACCAGGCAGCACAATGTCCAAATGTGGTTGTGTGTTACCACTCTTTTTACCACAATGGAGCCATTTCTCTTGTCCTAGAATACATGGATCGTGGATCTCTAGTAGATGTTATTAAACAAGTTAAAACGATTCTTGAGCCATATCTTGCTGTTGTTTGTAAACAGGTTTATGCACTTATTCTTAACATCTTCTGTTATTTTACTTACTGCTTCTTTTCTATTCTTTTTTGCTAAATTGAAAATTTATGATTGCATTTCAGGTTTTACAAGGTCTTGTGTACTTGCATAATGAAAGACATGTAATTCATAGGGACATAAAACCTTCCAATCTGCTTGTAAACCATAAAGGGGAAGTGAAGATTACTGATTTTGGCGTGAGTGCATCACTAGCCAGCTCAATCGGTCAAAGGGACACATTTGTGGGTACTTACAACTACATGTCGGTATGTGACAATCGTTTTTCCGCCCTATAGTTAAACCTTAACGCCGAAAGAAAGAAATGCGGCCGGTCCATTTCTTTCCTTTCTTGTTTGGCGCGATTCATAAAATAAAGCTTTGCTTTTGTCAAGTTCTTAATCACACTACAAATTCAAAATGAACCACACATATTGAATGGTTTCAATTTCTTTTATTAGCCAGAGAGAATTAGCGGAAAGACTTACGACTATAGCAGTGATATTTGGAGTTTGGGCATGGTTGTTCTCGAGTGTGCCATAGGACGGTTTCCTTACATGAGATCCGAAGATCAACAAAGCCGGCCAAGCTTTTATGAACTTTTGGAAGCAATAGTGGACAGTCCACCACCTTCTGCTCCACCGGATCAGTTCTCCCCGGAGTTCTGTTCATTTGTATCTGCTTGGTAATCTTTACTTTACATGCTGTTTCTGTCACTTGAAGCTTTATCTTGGTAGAATAATTAGTTCTGGAAACATTACTATTATTAGATCTTAATAATTTAATTTTCTGAATGTCTACTCTAGGTATCATTGTTGGTTTACTTTGGTAAATTCAGTTAAATGTCAGTTGATCCTTGAAGTAGCATATTAATACCATATTTTTCCAACTCAATAGACAAACGTAAGACTAGAAAAATTTAGAGGCACTTTAAAAGTACCAAGTGGTGTTTATTATATCTCCTGTTGTGCTTGCAGCATACAGGAGGACCCAGGGAAAAGGTCATCGTCTTTGGAGCTTTTGGTTAGTAATCTGTGCTTTTATTTCAATAATTAGGAAAATCATGATGTTTGAAGTCGTAATGATTGCTCTCTCTCTCTCTCTCTCTCTCTCTCTCCCGTAGAATCTATCCCATTGATTTGAAAGGAAAAAGGATTGGTGGTTATATTACTAATTCTCTGTCTTTCCAGAGTCATCCTTTCATCAAGAAGTTTGAAGACAAAGATATTGACCTCGGAATTCTAGTTGGTAGCTTGGAACCTCCGGTAAATTTTCCGAGGTAGCTTGTCTTTGTAATATTAAGAATGTGGGGAAAAACTGCTGCTTCTCCTATGTATCAGTGTTCAGTTTTGACAGAACATAACATTACATGAATCTTTTCGTGGTAATCAAGCAAATCCTTTATATGATTTTCTTCTTACATAAAAGGCTATAATTTCACTTTCTAGTTGCCCCTTTGGTAAAGTTTTTTCATAATCAATCGCACTTTTAATGCAGCCGTTATTGTTTGGTAATCTAACTCTTAATCACCCTCTTAGTTTCCAACTTTACCATTATCCAACTGGATTGGCATAGCCGATTGCTTGTTCTCATGATAATGTTTAGGCTTTTGAAGTATATGAGCAAAAGCATTTGAACTTATATTCCCATTAGTCTTTGTCTTGGCGTTTATACTTATCCTGTTTTCATTTTAATCCACTGCCATGCCAAGTCATTGTCTTCGCACTCACTGATTTCCCTCTCTCTAAAACTTGATCTTTTAGGATAATTATGCTACCTTAAAGGGGAACATGCAATAGTTTTATCGCTCATCTTTTTATGGTCTAACATTGAAGTTGTTTAATGGCCAAAAATTAACTATATCAGTTAAATCTTTTCCAACTAATTTTTATCCTATCTATACATAAATAAAATATTAATAAGACCCTTAACAAGAGGCATAGATATAGCTGACCATACAATGGCTATGCCAAATGGGCCCACTCCTTAGTGGGCTTTCTGATCTCTTGACATACCCCAAAGGAATATGAATATGGAGAATATATTCAAGACATGGATTGGGTGGTTGTTTGGCAGCTGGTGTAGACAAAACAAGGCAAAGCCCATTTTAACAAGAGGCATAACAAGAGGCATAGATCTAGCTGACCATACAATGGCCATGCCAAATGGGCCCACTCCTTAGTGGCCTTTCTGATCTCTTGACATACCCCAAAGGAATATGAATATGGAGAATATATTCATGACATGGATTGGGTGGTTGTTTGGCAGCTGGTGTAGACAAGACAGGGCAAAGCCCAGTTTCCCAAACAGACAAACACAATCTCGAAGATAATGTTGAAAAAAAGTGTGTATATATATATACACACTATATTCCAAGCATCAGTGTAGACTCTCTTCTCTGCAAATATCATGTCCTATGAATTATGATTAGCTTGAGATTCAATGTACGGTTTTGTTGAACAACGAACAAAAGGGTGACAAGTTTCACATGTACAGAACAAGGTGTCCCAGAGCAATATTGATCTTTATGTCGTTGAAATATATATATATATATATATATATATATATATATTTGGTTCGTATTTGAGGAAGAAAATATGGCAGGTGATATGTATGCTTACAGAACAAATAGAAGGGTCAGAGAAAAATGAGGCAGATGGGCCCAAAGGAAAGATGCAGATCTGTGGGTGTCGTACTAAAACTATTGATCTTAAAAGATTCAGAGGGCCAGCAGTTGGGCAAGGATAAGATGAAATAACAATAATGATCTCTTTTGAAAAATAAATAATTCAATAATTAAATAAAAATGACAATAATAATCAACATGGGAGGACCTGCCTGGATACCTTCAAAAGCATGTGGTGGCAATTTGAGTGCCCATCAAAACACCAACACTATCATGACCTGTGCCTTAGTCAACAACCTCCTCCTCCTCCTTATCCTTATATTCCTAAGCTTGCCATGCCTACCAACCCATCTCTCCCAAAAAAAAAAATAATAATAAATAAAAAAAATTAAAATGAAAATAAATAATTTCAATATCGAGTCAAATCATTTGTATACTTCAATTTAATACGTGTGCATTTGCATTGAGAAGGAATTAATACTTGGGCAATGAAATTTTTTTTTTGGGGGTTGACAAGTTTTGATTTTCTTTTTAGTTATTTTTGGAAGAGATTACAAGCTAGATGTTGGAACTTCGATGGACTAGTATATTTTATTCAATCTTTTTTTTATACAATTAATTTTTCAAGCTGATTTCTTGCTTATTTGCGTAAAACCATTTGATAATTGGGCTGAGTAGATGACCTATTCGATTATAGGCCTAAAAATAGTATGGTTCATCACCTAACTATTATTTTCTCATATTTTAAATTTATTAGATTAATCTAAAAAAATTATATTTTTAGTTGTGGATCAGGAAGTTTTCCGTGCGGAGATTTTTCATGTGTAAAAGATAAAAAAAGAAGCAAGCAATATGACTACAAGAAGGCAAAAGTATATTCTGGATTACAAAGTGGACAAATAAGGCAGAGACATTGTAAAAGTTTGTACCCACTTTTTATTCATTAATTTATTTTCATTAGCTGAAATAGGAACAAATTGAAATCTTGGACTATTACTATTTTGGATTCAAAGCAAAAAAAAAAAACTCCTTATTTACCGAAAATTGTCTTAAAGTCATTGGAACGTTTCTCTTAAATGTAGAGAGATTCTCTCCACGTAATAAACTTTTACTAGGGATGTGTTTATAAACTTTTTTTTTTATTGTTTTATGAAATATTAAAAAAGTATGCAATATGTCACGGGTTGCTAAAGATAGCGACTTCAGTTTCACCTCCAAATCCAAAAAAAAAAAAAAAAAAAAAAAAAAGAGAGAGAAGACGGTGACTCAGATATGGATGTCTTCAAATTTGGACCTTATCCTCTCTCCTAGTAGTATGGGAAAGCTAATAAATTGAGAGCTTAGGGATCGTGATAATGACAATTTTAAGGATAAAGTATCATAACAAGAAAAAAAAATGATTTAAATATGTCAGAAAATAACACAGTCAATTGTTATCCGTTTCTTTATTAATATAAGCGCATGCACAACCATATCTTTTTTATCACTTAATTATTTTCTTTCTTTCTTTTTTTATTTTTTATTTTTTATTTTCCTTCAACTCATGGCTCTAGATGTCATCAAGCATGTAACGTCTATAAACTAATATCTATATATATGCTCCCAAAAACATAACCCTTAAAAACCACATATTGCAAAAAGCTGCTTAGAAGGTTTGAGATCTTGTTCTTAGAATTATGGGTAAAGAAGAAGCAAGGAAAAACATGTTTTCTGATCATTATAAAGCTCAAAACGAGAGTTGGGTTGGGATTGAAAGTTGTGATGATCATGATCATGATGAGGATAATATTAATATCTGTGATTCAAGATCCATGGAATCTTCTTCTCAAGAGAATTCATCAATAAACTCCATTGCTTCATCATCTTCATCGGACTTGGTAGAGGATGCGTCATCTTCTAATTCTTCTTCTAAATCATGCTCTTCTTCTTCCTCCTCATCATCACCTTTTTCTTCATCTTCAAATAATGGACCTTTATATGAACTATCCGAGCTCATGGTTCATCTCCCTTTAAGGTATGTACAATACAAACATATATATACACATATGCACTTATTATGATCATTTAAGCGTAGTTCTTTTCTTTTTTTCATCTGGGTATCTTATATATATATATATATTAATTCTTATCACACCAATTTCTATATTTAAAAGTGATCACTGAAAACGGAACCGTTAAAAATTCGTCAATACATGATTCTTCACCTGGAGGTTTATAAATGATATTCTTTTTTATAAATATGCAGGAGAGGATTATCAAAATTCTATCAAGGAAAGTCCCAGTCTTTCACATCTCTAGCGAGTGTAAAGAGCTTAGAAGATCTTCCGAAGAAAGTTGCACCTTATAGGAAGAAATTAATGAAGCCATGCAAGAGTTTTGGAGGAGGTTTAGAAGGTAACAAATTGCATTATCCGAAGGCTATTATATCAAAGAAATCGTCAAGAGGGTCTAGTTTTTTGTCCTCTCTAGGTAGCTTTAGGCCTTCAGTTCCTGTACAGAAGAACTACTAATCAAGATCATGCTAAAATGAATAAAATCTTGCATGGTTTTTTAGTTGCAGAGTTGGGTTTTCGCTGGATTTTTTTTTTTTTTTTGGTTGATGACTTGTTGGATATGTAACGTTTTTAACAATATGCTTGAGAGGCTTCAGAAGAATAACTAATGTTGCAGCTTAGTTTCTGCAGCGTTTTTGTTTGATGGAATGAGATTATTGTGTGTGGTTTATAGGATGAATGCAAATACAAGTTATTTTTTATTATTTTATTGTAGATGTAAAACGTTTTCTGGTTTGAAGCTGGCAGCTACTAGAGTACAGCTCCAACATGATAAGCGTGTTTTGAGGATTTTCAACCAAGTAATATTTTCTTCGCAAAATTTTCACACTTTTTGTGTGTGTGTGTGTGTGTGTGTTTTTTTAAATTTAATTTCAAAGTTGTACTATGGTCTTCAGCTCCCATTTGCAACTTTCATTTAGGAATGACAATTCGGGTTAGCGGGTCGTGTTCGTGTCGTGATGATTTTCTCAGTTGATACGAATAGGTTTGACACGAACACGACATGTTTATTAATCATGTCGAAATACAAAACCCAAACACGATATATATATTAGTGGGTTGACACGACACAACACGAATAACTCATTTATTAAACAAGTCATAAACGTGCCGTGTCAACCCGTTGATTACCTGTCAATCCTATTTATGAATCTGTTTATAAAATAAGTGATAAATGGATCGTGTTAACCTATTTCTGAATCTATTTTTTAACTTGTTTATAAAATGGGTAATAAACAGGTTGTGTATTCGTATTATCTAAATATGACACGTTTAATAAACGGGTTTTGGTAGGTCAATTGCTGGTTGACGAGTCAACTTGAAATGACACGTTATTTAATTGTGTTTTATAGGTTTAACCTGATTTTGACTCGTATTTATTTATGATAAATTTAAATCCGTTAATTTCATGTGAATTTTGAGTCGTGTCGTCATATCACTATCCCAATTACCAACCCTACTTTCATTAGAGCCAAAAAAGAAAAAAGAAAAAAGAATTAAAACAAAATAAAACAAGACTCTCTCTCCCTTGAATTTTGGAGAAATGACAAGAATGGTCCTTCTACGTAGGACCTCAATTTAATGAAAGCACAGCTCATCAAAAGAAAACTCTTTTATGATTTTAGGATCGTGCGATTCCTTAATAGGACAATTGACAATCAAGCACGTTACAAACTCGAACGCCCAAGGTTTGAGAGCCCACTTTTGTGAAGTAGAAGTTATCCGGTCAGGACAGCTGTAAACGTCTTAATGGAAAATTGGAAATGGAGGGGCCTTTCCCTTTATTTCAGTTTAATTGCAGAACGGAGAATAACATATAAAGATCATTTTAGTTCGTTGATTCGAATTTTTAATTTGAGTTGAGATGCAATTTTATGTGAGAATTTTTTATTATAGTAAAAAAGTTAGATGTGATTATTTGTGAGAATTTTTTACTGTAACAAACTCAAATTCTAAACTCAAATCAGCGAAATGAACGGACCAAAATTTTTTTTTTTTTTAGGGTAATTAGAGAAGAATATATAAGATTTTTTAAAATTTGGGGTGTATAATTTTTTAATATAATATTTAGGAACATATCTTAAGTTTTTTCCTCTAATTTTAGGTTGTCCATTTTTATTAATATTTTTTTAAAAAATATCATATCAATTAATAACATGAGATTACATTTGTCAAATGAAAATGGAAAGATGACAACTAAAAAATTAATACGAAAAACTGATATTTTTGGAATTGATGTTTTTTTTTTTTTACTCGATGATCAGCATCAACGAACCGGGACATTATCAACATGATTCTTCATGACATGGCAGGCTAGGAAAAGATTTCTCACATTTTTGCATATTTCCATTTTAAGGAACATAAAATAGGCTTCATCATTTTGTTTTTTTGAACTACAAAACATGAGGATCATTAGTGAATCCTCTTATCTTTATTGTCGGTAGAGAATATTTGAGACTCGTCAATAAAACAAAAAGGACCTGATTCAATATCATTCAAAGAATGAGCTCGATTTCATGCAAATCACCATCCGTCTAGTGTGCACATAGCAAGACTTTTTATGTTAAGGATGCCAAGAAACTTCGTCAAAATTGTGTACCTCGAGCTAACAATACCTAAATTGCTCAATCAGTCAAAACCCACAGCTCGTTGTGGATTTATCTCCATGCTAGTTTTCATTAGACCTGTCTGAAAATGTATTTAAATCATAATTTAAAATTTTTATGAGAAAATTATTGATTATAATTTTTTTAATTTAAATTTTTTGTGAGACCAAATAATTATGGTTTGAATTTGAAAGGTTGTTTGGATGTTTGGCCCCAGAAATTAGCTAAATCCAGTAAAATAAATTAAATGGAAAATTACATTGATAAATACAGTTCTTAATAGAAGGTGATTTTAGGATCCAAAATATTAAAGTTTAAAAAGTTCAGGTCCAATCACGAATTAACAGAAAAGTTCCGGACATAATTATGTAAACATCTCGGGTTATTTTCTTTTATTAATTGATATCAGTTAGTTATTGAGCCACAATTGCGATAAATAATTAAATTTAGACATCATTTATTTTACCGATTTAAATTTTCAGTTCTAAATTTTTACAGTTAAAAACTCTCAGAAAATGTCACATCTAACTTTTTTTGTTACAGTTAAAAACTCTAAAAAAATATCACATCTCAACTCGAATTGAAAACTCGAGTCCGCGAAGTGAACGAGACCTTAGTGTCTCATTTGTGAAAATTAAAAGTTGGGAGTCTACATTACCAAACACCACTAAATTCATAGTAGGGCAAAACTTTTTCACCACAAATGCAAACAAATGAGGTGTACAATTTTAGTGTAGGAGAAACGAAGTGCCTAATAATAATCCCCTCTAAGGGTGTATACATTTATATATAGTACAAGAATCATATCTTGTAAACAGGCACAATTCCCAGCAAATAAAAGCATTTCCTCATCACTCTGGCTGTAGCTTCACAAAGCAAGAGTCTGCTCGTTTCTTCAGGAGATCCAACCACCTGCTCAAATTTTCAATGCAATTATATGGATGGTTTTGTGGTTTTGTTAAATTTTTTTCAGAATATGACTCTGTGAATCAAACTAAGATTTAGCCGTACCTGACAATTGGAATAAAATTTCTTGGTAAAGATTTCTGACAAATTATAAAGATATTCACACACAACATTTGGCAAGAGGTTGGTGCAGGCCTCTTCCACAACCTGAAAGTCAATGACACAATTAAAGCGTCTACTGAACAAATAGTGAAGCAAAGATCAAGTGAAGAACAACAAACAATTTCACCGATGGATGCAATTACCTCGGAAAATTGAAGCAAATAAAGGCCCAATTCACGCTCACCCGCATGATCCAAAACAACCGTCCCCGTCTGTTTCAAACAAGATAACATTCAAAGTTCTGATACTAGTAAGTTTCTTTCTTCTAGTGAAAAGTTGTTTCAAATATAAACTACAAAAATAAAAAAGAGCAAAATCTCACGGTATAACGATAATGCAGTTGAAGTACGAATAAGAACTTACCTTCTTCAGCTCTTCTATGTCTCTGCCAGACTTCCTAATGATTGAACAGATCCTCGCATGAGCATAGAGTAAGTAGACAGCAGTATTTCCCTGCCCACAATAATTGTAAGAAGATAAACAACAGATAATAGTAGTTGATAAAGCTTAGCTATTAACCATATGGCGTCCACTAGAAGGAAAGAAAAAATAAATCTTGAGTACAAAAATCACGAATCAAGAGAAAACCATGACAAATATCACAATGTTCCTTAATGAAACAGAAATACAAATCAAATTCGATTTTTCTTTCTACAATCTTTTGCATGTTCCAAGGAGCAAAAGTCCAGCAAAGCTATGCCAACCTTATCATTTAGCATCTGATCGAAATCAAATGTGTAATTGGTTAGCCTGTTATTTTTCAGGTCTGCATACCTGCAAAGTACAGCCAGAGCTGAAACGTGAGATGATTTGAGACAAAATGCCAAAATTATATGGTGAAACTAAGGAGTAGAGCTTTGGAAGTCTAATGAAATAGCTGTATTAAACTCAGAACTGTATAAACTACAACCGCTAAGAGCCCGTTTGGTTCATGGATTAGAACCATAAGATTAGAACCATTTTCGATTTACGTGTGTTTTTTGTGAGAAAATACTGTAACGAACCACGAACCATGATTCGAATCAGAGAACGAATCCTCCAACTAAACGGGACATAAGCAACATGCCACCATATTGATAAATTTATATTTTCAAACAGAGAAAACGTATCATGTTTATTGATTTAGACGTTGAGAACAATAATACTTTTATCATCTCTTAAAATCTGCGCTAGAACTTTCTAGTTTCAAGCAGCATCACGTACCACTTCGTGAAGCACTAAACTAGTGAGCAATAAGTAAACAAGTAGAAATTAGTCTTAAAGCACTGACGACTTACTTAACAGCACCATAACCAACAGCCTCAGCTGTTTGCTCAAGCTCCTGTTCAGTCCACTCTTCAGCCTTGCCTGTTCAAGATGTAGATGAATATTTACATATTGTGACGGGCTAAGACGGATTATTCAAAGAAAAACCAAGGCTCGTGCCATGTTCTGAATCTTTCCCTTTTTTTTGTTTTTGTTTTGGTGAGAGAGAGAGAGGTGCAGGATGATACAAATAACTCTGCCGCGTTAAAAGATACATTACCACGCTCGATAAGTGCTGTTTTACTGCGAGACTTGGCTTCATCTAGTAAATCAACTAATCGAACCACCTCAGTGCTCCGAGTCCTAAAGCGTTTGCCATCTTCTCCTAGAACAAGACCAAAACCAACATGGCTAGCTTTTGGATACCCGCTATCATCAGCTGGAAGCCAACCTGCACGCGTAGCAGCCTGGAAAAGAAAATCAGGAATACGTGTAATTGTATATGTCAACTCAAAATGTATAGCACTAATCTATGTCTTACTGTGCAAGAACCAGTAATTATTTGCACTTTAAAAGGACACTGACACTGAAAACCATAATTAATAGAGCAGGGAAGCAAGCAGTTAAAATCTAGATTAAAAGGTTGAAGGACAAAGAAAACTTATCAACCATAAATAAAGTAGTACCACTGAAGAGAAACCGCATTAGCACCATTAACGAGAGAAGAAAGGTTTTCTTTGGTTCTATGTATATACCTTGAATACCATATCGAAGTGCTGCTGCTGGCCAACATCAGTGAGATATATAATCCACTCAGCTTTCTCTTCATTAAGCCGGTACCTGTTCATTGCAAGCAGCAACATTTGACAAGATTAGTAGTGGATAGAATGAATCTATATGTCACGTGAAAACACACACACCACTTAACAAAGTCCAACGCATTCCTTTACTAAACAGCACGTCGGACTAAGTAAAGAAAAGCTTGTGACTAAACTGCGTAGATTAATAAAATGCAAAGGTTTAATAAAACATCAAATAAAAAAGAAGTAAAAACTTGCCAAAGAGCTGTAAGATCAGTTGAAGCGTAGTTGTAACCACCATCGCTCTTGACCACAATAAGGGGTATGTTAATCCCTTCAATGAAGATAACACGTGCTCCCTGACTTTCTTCAACTAATCCTAGATCACTCAGTTGTTTTATAACCCCAGGAATATGTGGATGGTAAAAGCTTTCTCCCTGTGAAAAAACAGAAAGGACTTTACCGACAAATCAAACCTGAACTCTTTGAAGATTTGACACGACAAGAAACATTAAAATCTTCTTCATGGATGTTAAACACAAATTTACAAGCATGTGTTAGCATCAATAAATTCTAGTATGTAGTATAAAAAATTTCTTGGTTAGCCTACAAAATTCTCCATGCACAGTGTGTGTAAAGCTAAAGCCTAGAAATACCTTTTCCTCCAATTGAGTACCAAGACGCTGATAGACCCTATCAAACTCTTTCCGGCTGATTTCACATATTTGTGACCATGCTTTTCGGTACTTGGGTTCCCCACCCTGCATATAAAGATGAGTTTGGAAAATACAAGGAACTTCAACAGATAACAGTTGGCCTAAAATTCAAATGCCTCTAGTAAGCAAATGACCAACATTGCAAACATGAGCATCCTTTACATAGCAAGTAATAGTAATACAACTTACCTGAAGGCGAACAACTGCCTGTTGTGCCCTCTCCTTGAAAGCAGCATCGCAATCAAATCTCTGTTTTGATGCCTTATAGAAAGCCTGCAGAGTAACTTACTTAAACTAAGACCACAACAAGCAAATTCAAGTGAATGCAACCACAGATCATAAACAAAGAATGCAACGAAAATTGCTAATAAAACAACACAAGTTTCGGAGGCATATTAAACTCTATATCTATGCTAGTTCACCAATAAACATGTTAATACCATGAATCGGTGCATATACAGATGGTTTAGCACAAATTTTCACTCATTCCGAGTTTTTTCTGTTTCGTCTTTTGTAGTAAAACCAAGGCAATTTGCTAGTATATTTTAAAAGCTAGAGCCAGTTTCACTATTTCTCCTCAATAAGTTTCTCTATCAGGAACTGCCAACTAGAATTAAGCCAAAAAAAAAAAAAAAAAAAAAAAAAAAACTACATAATCAACTTCACATCTAAAAAGCAAGACGTTAGCTACAGCTATATATAGCATGAAATCATTCTAGTAAAGACAAAAGGGTCATTACTGTTTTGCCATTATTTGTAGCACAAAACAACAGAACAATACAAGATAATAAACTTTGTAAAGTTCACTCACCTGCAAGTCCCCGATTGCCGTTTCACTAACATCTTCCCAGTTTGGATAATTTTCAAAAAGAAATTCAATCAACATACCAAACTGCAAAACACAGAACATTTAGAAGCACATGTCATTGATGGAGAAAATACAGAATAACTCTATATAGTAAGTACTACATAAACTACTAGCGCTCAAGAAAAAACACAAAATCATAAGTAGTAGATTTATGCCATGGCCTCATAGGGGTGACCAAGTCCCTTGATCCCTAATAAACAAAGCAATGACCTTCCAGGATCCGTCTATAATAGACATCACAAGCAATCACAAGAAAGATGCAAAGCTACCGCTAGTAGCAGACATAAAATTCAAGAGCACGATGATGTTTCCTTCAGCCAATTTGCAAACACCTAAACAAGAAACAACTGAAATTTACAACAGTGAAGAATTGATATATTGTCAGAAACTGCATTTACCTGCGTCCCCCAGTCACCAACGTGGTTCCTTCGTAAAACATCAACATTTGAAAACTCAAGCATGCGAGCTAGTGCATCCCCAATAATTGTAGATCTTAAGTGGCCAACATGCATTTCCTTTGCTATATTGGGCGACGAAAAGTCAACCACAGCCCTTTTTACTGGAAGTTGCGGTGCCCACTTTTCAATACCATCAAGTAGCATCTTTTGTATGCTCTGCAGCAGCAACATTACACAGTTAAAGCTTCACAGATGATAGAAGTTAGAACCAAATATTAGTAACAAAAAATTGAGATGAAGCTTAAATCATACATAAAATTCAAGGATACCTTAGCTATCCAATTCTTTGATAAAACAATGTTCACAAATCCAGCTCCAGCTACAGAGCACGATTCTATAATTTCCGACTGAGGAAGATTTGCCACGAGGGCCTATATTGGAAAACAACCAAAAAGTTATCCCATGGAATACATTAAAATTCAAACAGAAAGCCACAACCAGCGCCGACCAATTAAGTTCAACGGGACTAAGTAAAAGGTCTATGTATACCTGTCCAACAGATGGAGGACCCTTAAATTTAGTGCTCTTCCCTCTCATTTTGGACCATAGGCCCATGGCATTATTGCTTCAGCCACACACAAAAAATAAAAAAAATAAAAAAAAATAAAAACAACAACAACAACAACGATTTAGAAAACAAAAAAGATATCCATAAAAGAAAAGGCTCACAATTCGCATATATCCCTACTGCTATTACAAACAATAACAGTTCCTACATTCATGATTCAGTGCAAAAGCTTGCTCCTTACCACTGGTAGTCGCCAAATTTCGCAGTGCAAGCAGCAATCAAAGGCTCTACATCTGGCTCATCAGGGACCGTTGTTCTAAGTGATGTTTCAAACAGTTTTCCTAATTGCCGTTTCACATTTCCCGCATATTCTTCATCCTGTGTGACAAAAATCCCATTACTTCCATAGAAAAAGACCCAGCTTGAACACCAAAAATAATACCACATAAATGAAAAGCCGTTTCATAAGCCAAAGAAACTGACAGAAAATTAAAAGAAAGAAAATTTTATTGAAAATGCAAAAGAAATATATAGCGAGTTGAAATCTTACATTTGCCGCCATGTTCGATTTTGTTGCGAAAATAAGTTTCCTAGATGCCGCCTTCAACAAGTCTGTCTAGTTTCACCGATCACCACATTAAATTCGCAACACATTCTACCCAATTAACCAAAAACAAAAAACAAAAAAGAAAAAACCCCACAAACTGATTTATGCTAAAACATGCAGAGAAATTCAGTGAGCGAGGAACACAATGCCAACAAAGAAAATTTAAAAGCAATGAATTATATTACATAATCTCATTCTTGAGACTTCAAATGTCTAAATTCACAGCTGAATTTCCTTTTGCTTGTTGATAAGAGGGGAAAAAGATAAAAGCACAAAGAGACGATACTTAACCAAAAAAAAATGTCGAATCAAAAGCTTCACCAAAACAACCGGCATTGAACCTAGCTTCTTATCTTAATCTTAGCCCTAATAACCTCAGTAACGTGTTTCGTTTACTCAATTTTCACGGAAACCAAGCATATTAGAAGCTGTAGAATAAAGCAGTTCAGAGAACATAAAGATTCGTCAGTCATACAAACAAAAGAACAGGAACCATTATACATATAGCTACATGCAATATACATATATACACACACACACACATATATATAGAGAGAGAGAAAGAGAGAGAGAAAGAGAGAGAGAGTAGAGGCTCACCAGAGGTAGAGGAAGGGAAAGAAGGAGAGAGATGGAGGTGAGAGAGGCGATTGAAGGGAATCAATGGAGATGGAGATATCGGCGGCAGTATCAAGTTTATGGAGCCTCTCATCACTTTCTTATACTTCCCCTTTTGAATTTCCTTTTTCTTTTTTTTCTTTTTTTTTTTTCCGTTGTTAAGCTGAGAAAGAAGCCCTCACTCACGTTACTCGGCCAATCAGTCCCAAGCCGTGTGCTCTCTGGCGCCCAGCTGCCTGGCCTATTACAATAGGCTTTTGGGCAACTCTCTCTTTGCCCACCCAAACTGCACGTGCGAAGCACGTGCTTGGTGTTTGGGGTTATTTTAAGAAGTTACGGGTCTTAAAATGCGAGTATGTTTATTTTATAATTGAAGTCATAATTCAAATTATATATAAGAGAAAAATATTATAATAAAAAAATTAAATTAAAATTTTTATGAGATAAAATATTATAATAATAAAATTTAAGTTGTGATTTCAATTGTGAAATGAATAAGGCCACAATTTTGTATTTGTAACTTGGTTAGGTTACTCATTATTGATAATTGACTAGTTTCCATTATTAATTAATTAATTTATTTATTTACATTAATTTCTTTTATTAATTTATGGATGTAGACATATCTTTACTTTCTTGTTTATTTTTATTTCCAATTATACATACTTATAGGTAGGAAGAGAAAAACTTTTCAATGTTGCATTTTATGAGAGAGGGAATAGTAAAACATATTTTTTTTCACTTGTCTATTGTATAATAAAAGATTTTACAGTGAAATACTCATGCTATCACGTCTTATAGAATCCTTAATCGTAGAATTTAGATGAAACGGTCTATATTGAAATATTTATATTTTGTTTTGTTTGATTTTTACATTTTATCCTAAAATAAAAATTGTTTAAAAATATTTTCCTCGGAAGGAAGCAAAATAAATTATGTAAATAGAATCTTTTTTGGTAGGGAAAAAAATAGAAAATACTCATGTCACCTAGATGTCTTTACATTAGGTTTTGTTTAAGCCAAAAACACACTGACTAATGTTTGATTTTATTACCCTAATAATAAACTATCTAAGAGGTGGTGAATTTGGTTTTTAAAATTTTTCAAAGCGATTAATAATTTTCAATCACAAATATATATATATATATATATATAATTAGATAACAAAAGCACACATAAATATGAGATCAACAAGGAATAAAATCTCAATAAAATCAAGAGCAATCACAATATATAAAAACAACACTAGATACCAATATGTCAAGCTACACAATATATCCTGAGTAAAATAAGAGAGGCAATGATAGAGATAGTGCAAATAATTTATAGTGGTTGGACTATAAGTCTATATATACTGTTATAGAGTAAATTACATCCCAATTTCTTCCACTGTATTGATCAACTTCGACCCAATTACGTTAAACGGGACATTTCTTCCTCCTACGAGAGCAAAGAGGAGAAGAGAAAACGGAGAAAATTACACAATTTACTCTTAATATTGTATGTGTCTAAGTTTTTAAGCCTCATTATTGATTGATATCATTTTTTTAATATAGTTATTTAAGTAAAAAAGTTATTAATAAAAAATAAAAATTTTGACTCTTATAAAATGATATTTATCTCCTTTTGCATGAGAAGATAGATTCTCATTTCAAACGGGCTTTGACAAGTAAATTCAGTTTGGACTTTGAGCTTGGGGTACACGGCAAGTTCTACAGCAAGTCAAGAGACCCAGTTTGGCCACCTACAGTACATACACGTACCCATTGAGTCAAAACATGAGTGTTGGCTCTTACGTTATTTATTACAGCTAAAATATCACCATTGAATGAGTTATACTGTTTAGTTTGTTAATTTAAATTTTTAATTTGAATTGGGATATAATTTGATATGAAAATTTTTTATTGTTATAAAAAAATTATATTTTTTATTGTTATAAAAAAATTAAATACGATTGTTTTTAAGAATTTTTTATTCTAATAAAATTTAAATTCGTAAAATAAACAGTTGTACAGTGTTTCCGATTTCACCGTGCGTTGCGCCACCCAAAAACTATAGCCTGTTATTCTATGGAAAAGAAATCATCAGTCTCTTATCAGACGGTTTCGGATAAATGATCTATCTCGCTACAACGAGCCAATCACTACGGTAGAATTCCCACTATGAATAACTAATAAATAATTAAATTTAAAAATGGTTGTTCTTATCCAATTGTCCTTTATCCAGTTAAACCACAACACGTACCCGCGTGGCGGAAACGCATCGGGCGAAATGACAGTTTACCCCACACTTCCATATTATAAGAACGGGTAAGTACCCCCATTTTATTTTCAGCCATTAAAGAAAAGTTTGAGGGAAGAAGATGAAGAATACAGGGAAGAGTACAAAGGGCAACGGGAAAACGGAGGTGAGGAAGGACAGGAAATCAGGCACGGGACTGAGTGGGTCCCCCAAGAAGGGCGGCCATGGCGGCAAGTTCACTTGGGCCGGCGTCGGCTACTCCCGGGTCGAGATGGGCTTCGAGAAGGAAGCTCTCGACGCCAAGGACCCAAACTTCGAAGATCCAGAGGAGGTCGCGCCCACCGTGTGATCGTGATGACTCTCAATCTTGATTTGTTGATCTTGATCTTGATCGTGATTATGTTTTTAGTTTTTACTGCTGTTTCTCTGTAATAAGGCGTTTTTCCAACGCTCTGTACAGTAGTTCGTAATTTGATCTGATCTGTAATACTATACGGTGAAAGTTTACTTTTGTTCGCGTATGCCGAATTTTAATTTTGTTATCAAGATCCACTCGCTGTTCTTGTTCGCATGGGGGGTTTGGCAATCTGGTGTGAAATTTGAGCACTGAGCTAAAATGTTTGTTTCTTTCTTTATTTCGGCATTTAGTGAACCACAAAAAGAGAGAGGGAGAGAGAGAGAATGCCATCAGAAACAGCATCATTAACCTGTGCTTATCCGACTAGTGATTAGAATGGGGTGAAAGTTCAGTTCACTTAAGTCTCATTCAGTTCACTTAAGTCTCGTTAAGTTCACTTAGGTCTCATTTTCATTTAGGTCTCATTTAGTCTACAGGTTGTTTTTTTTAGTGTAGTTTTAGAGTTGAATTTAAGTTATAATTTGAGTTGAAGTTAAAATTTGAATAAAATTGAGTAAAATTGAATAAAATTAAAATTAAAAAAATGTGAATTTGAATAAAGTTAAAATTTAAGTTTTTTTTTTTTTTTGAGTTTTTTAGACAAAAGAATATGTCTTTAATTTTAATTTTTAATTTAATTTGATATGTAATTTTATGTGATAATATTTAATTGTAATAAAATAAATTAAATATAATTTTTTGTGATAATTTTTAATAGTAAAATTAAAATTAAAAATTTAAATGGTGAAATAAACAATTTTGAGGTTATTAATCTAAATAGACTTTTATCCCTCGCAAAACAAAACATTTTTTTTAAAGGAAAGATTTTGAATGCATTTGGACAAAGGCTCAATTAGTGGAATATCACTCTTCGAAAATTGTAGGAATTTAAGTTCAATTTATACATAAAAGTTCACCCAACAGGGGAATTGATCATGCTCGTAGGATTCTAACCATATGGGGCATAATATATGGAGTTTGATATTGTAAGAAAATGTTTTGACAACGCCATCATTATGCTCGTCGCTTAATAGGTATTGTATGATTTATATCATAGGTGAAAGGCCTCTAATTCCCTACATTAAGGACATATCGTTGTAAATCACATACAAACATTACGAGTAAAAAATTATAATTAAACTGTAAAAATGTCATATAGTCTATTTTACATAAAAACAAATATCACACTTTTTTTTCCTTCCAAATTCATGTAAATATGCTTGATTCTTTTTAAACTAACTATTAAAAGACTACACATTATTTCCTTCCAAATTCATGTAAAAATGCATGCTTGTTTTTAAACTAACCATGACAATGCATCTGAGCTGTTTCATTTCCCTTACTAATAATGCCTAACTATTGTGCTCGGTGTCATCATGTTAATCAACCGGTCACGATTTTTAATTGTTCAAAACCTATACCCTCATGCAACGATGTCTCTCAATATCCGCCAAACCCGAATTCATAACTTCTCTTAAAAAACAAAATTACTATAATTAGACTATCTTCAATATAAATGTTAATTCTTATGTTACCTAAAAGTGAGAAAATGACATACTGAATAAGTTATTTTTTATTTGTGTTCAAATATATAATATTATTTCAAATGCTATATATACTTTTTGACTTTTTGTTATAATCATTAAATTTTAAAAATGATAGAAGTAAACTTTTAATATTAAAGCATTTTTAAATTGTTAGTGTTGCAATAATAAATGACAAAAATAAATTCATCAACAAGTAAATGTTAAAGCATATGTTATATTTAGTGTCAAATTTAAATAAAAATAATGCATATGTCAAATTTAATATAGAAAATAACATCGTATTTGAGAATGAAATGCTAAAATTTAGGGATTGTTCGTTTGTACCCAAACTCAAAAAAAAAATTTTAATTCAAGTTACAACTTTATTTAAGTGCATGTTCTTTTGTAAAATTTGAGTTTTAAATTGAATTTTAACTTGAGTTTGTGGTTAAAATCTCGAGTTCAATTGTTCGTTTGTATTTTTGAGTTATGGTGACTTGAGTGTAAATCTTGAGTTGAATTTGAGTTATAACTTGAGTTGAAATTGTAACTTGAGTTTTTGTTTGGTTGTGTACATTTGAGTTATGATTTGAGATGTAAATCTTTTTGAGTTTGTATTTGGACAGGTCAAAATTTGAATTTGTATTTGGATAGTATTTTAATAAAAAAAATCAATGGTGATGACAAATTTAAATAGGATATATGGGTGAGATTTTATTCGTCTCTTCGTTGTGAACGCATGGAAAAAAAATAATCTCAATCGGAATTAAAACAAAAAAGTTATGTTTTTAAGAATAGAAAAAATATTATTCATTAACTTGAGTTTGAGTTTAGGAACTTGAGTTGAGGAATTTGAACTCAAATTTTAGTCCCAAACTCAAGTTAAAACTCACATTTTACAAAAGAATGTGAACTTGAATAAAGTGATAACTTGAATTCATACTTTTTTTAAGTTCAGGTGCAAAAGAACTCCCCTTCAACTCAAGTTCTTAAGGGCTTGTTCAGTTGCATTTTTGAGTTATGATGACTTGAGTGTATATATTTAGTTGAATTTGAGTTATAACTTGTGTTGAAGTTATAATTTGAGTTTGTGTTTGATTATGTACATTTGAGTTATGGTTTGAGATTAAAATCTTTTTGAGTTTGTGTTCGGGTGAGTAAAACTATGATACATGGATAGAGTTTTGTTCGTCTCTTCATTGTGAACGCGAACGCATAAAAAAAGAAGAATAATCTCAATAAAAAATAAAACAAAAAAGTTATAGCGTTTTTAAGAATAGAAAAAATATTGTTCATTAACTTGAGTTTGAGTTTAGGGCTTATTCGTTTGCACCCAAACTTAAAAAAAATTTGAACTCAAGTTATAACTTTATTCAAGTTCATGTTTTTTTGTAAAATTTGAATTTGAACTTGAATTTTAACTTGAGTTTGGAGTTAAAATCTAAGTTCAAATTTACCTTTCAACTCAAGTTCCTAAACTAAAACTCAAGTTAATAAATAGTATTTTTTATTTTTAAAAACGCTATAACTTTTTCGTTTTAATTTCAATTGAGATGATTTTTTATGCATTCACAACGAAGAGATGAATAAAACCTCACCCATATATCATATTAAAATTTTTCATTATCATCGAGTTTTTTATTAAAATACTATCTAAATACAAACTAAAATTTTGACCCACCTAAACAAAAACTTAAAAAGATTCTTATCTCAAACTATAATTTAAATGTACACAACTAAATACAAACTTAAGTTAAAATTTTAACTCAAATTATAACTTAAATTCAACGAAGATCTACATTCAAATCATTTATGTTATTTTGTTCAAAAAACTTAAAAAAAGACAACTCAAGTTTCAACTTTATTTAAGTTTACGTTATTTTAAGTTTCAACTTTATTCAAGTTCTAACTTCAACTCAAGTATAACTCAAATTCAACTTAAAAACTACACTCAAATTACACTCTAAAAGAACAACCAATATAACTCAAAAATGCAATTGAAGAAGCGATAACTCTTTTTTTCTTAAAAAAATAAAAAGAAAAAGAAAATAAAAGGCCGTGTAATCCATCCATGGTGGGCCCCACAGGAAACCAATTACCCCACGCCACGTGCAGAAGCCCAAATCCACTTGCAAAGTAAGAACCTCCGAAACGTTTATAATCATACATACCAACAACAAATCCCGTTTCGAAACTCCGGAAAAGAAATCCCAACACTCCAACCCGACCCAGCAAGCCAAAGGCCGAAGCGACCTCATCGTCGTTTTTTCTTTCTCCTCTGCTCAATCCAAACGCAACAATGGCGACTGAGACCCGCTTTTAAGAAAACTCAAAATGCCCTCCGAATAATGCCAAAATCCTCCGCGAAACAGCCATGGGGAACAAGATTGCGCGCACCACCCAAGTGTCTGCCTCCGAGTACTACCTCCACGACCTCCCGTCGTCCTACAACCTCGTCCTCAAGGAGGTCCTCGGCCGCGGCCGCTTCTTCAAGTCCATCCTCTGCAAGCACGACGAGGGCTTGGTCCTCGTCAAGGTCTACTTCAAGCGCGGCGACTACGTCGACCTCCGCGAGTACGAGCGCCGCCTCTTCCACATCAAGGAGATCTTCCGCGCCCTCGAGTTCCCCCACGTCTGGCCTTTCCAGGTCCGTTTGGCTGCCGAGAAAATGACGGAAAATGGAGTCGGAAAGTGTTTTAATTGGATTTTTTTGGTTTTGATTGATTTTTGTCTTTTGGCAGTTTTGGCAAGAGACCGATAAAGCGGCATATCTTCTCAGGCAATACTTCTTCAATAATCTCCATGATCGATTGAGCACTCGACCTTTTCTCAGTCTAATCGAGAAGAAATGGTTGGCTTTTCAGGTCATTTCTCGCTCAAGTTTCTGTTATCGATGGCTGAATAGTTTGTCCAAGTATAAACATCTTGAATTCCTATGTTCTCGTGCAGTTACTTCTTGCTGTGAAACAATGCCACGAAAAAGGGATTTGCCATGGTAATTTTGTTCTGTGTTGATTGAAGGATTCTATTTTCCTCTTCATGATTTTCATGTTTATGTTCAAATTTTGTTGTTTTTAGGTGATATTAAGTGCGAGAATGTGCTTGTCACTTCTTGGAATTGGCTTTACCTTGCGGACTTTGCATCATTCAAACCCACCTATATTCCATATGATGACCCTTCTGACTTCTCATTTTTCTTTGACACCGGAGGAAGAAGGCTTTGTTACCTTGCTCCTGAGGTTTGGTTCTTATCTATCTACACACACACACACACACATAATTTCATTGCTTTATTGGGCATGTATGTCCTTAGTCGTTCTTTATTGGAGATGATTTCTTTTGTTGATTCCTATTTTTAACGTAATTGTGTACACATGCATATGGTTTTTGAGTCAACAGCAGTAGATTTCGTTAGCTTACATAATTATTATTATTTTTTTTTAGTTTTATCATTTAATGCTATCCCAATTCAGGAACCAGCTAATTGATCAGAATTATTTTGTCAGCTTACATGATTATTTTTTTTTAGATATTGTAGTTTCCATGTGTGTTTGTTTTTCTTTGTGGCGGATCTTGAATTGCTAATTGTTCCCACGTTTTCTCTAACTTCAGAGATTTTATGAGCATGGAGGTGAGATGCAGGTTGCACAGGATGCACGTTTAAGGCCATCTATGGACATATTTGCTGTGGGGTGAGTTCTCATACTAGTTATTGTCTTATATCCGAACCTATGTATTTTGAATGTTTAGATTTGATGCCGAAATGGACATTCAAATTTCCAAGTGTATTGCTTGATGTAACTGACATCCTTTCTGCTGAGGTGATTATGAGTGTTGGAAATCTTGTGGGATTCAATTACCCCATATTACTATGTTTATAAGAGATGAGATGGTGTTTCCCTTTAGTTCTAGGCTTGTTCCTTCAAAATGGTTTGGATTATGTTACATTTACTATTAGGCCACTTAAATCTTTTTTTCTTTTTTTTTTTTTTGGCTTGAATTGTGTTCTTTAATGATGTAGTAACCTGCATTTTTATTCCCCCCCCCCCCCCCCCCTTGTGCGCGTGTTACC